TGCTACAAAAAATGACCAGATCGGTAAATGCAGACAGGTAATGCTTGCTTAGCAGCAGGGGTCATTTCGTAGAAAAAGAGCTAGGGGAACTCATTAGCATAACTCATTAGCATATGCCACACCCCCTGACATCAGGGGCCCGGCGGTGGACCTGCAAGGCCAGTGGGAGTGCGAGGAAGCCCCACCAAGGCCCTCCCTGGCCCCAGGCAGGCAGGGGTGGGGAGAGGCTGGGAGGAAGCAACTTACCCTCCCTCTTCTCCTGCCTCCTCCTGGCTGAATGAGGGCTGGAAGCGGGGCGGCCGGAAGCAGGGGGTGGGGCTTTGTTGTGTGCCCCGCCCCCTGCACCTCACCCGGGGGAACTGCATTCCCCCGCGTTCCCCCCGAAATGACCTCTGCTTAACAGTACAAACTGGCTTGCAAGAGGTGGTCTTTGGAATGCCTGTCCCTGATTCAGGCCTTCAGCAATGTGTGTGCTATTGGGGGTCATGTCCAGGGGTTTGTTTATACACACGGACCATGCTCGACCTTGCAGTGAAAAACTGCCAGTCGTGTGGTCCACCTGATGGTTTATTCACAATGCAAGTATCTTGAAAAGTCCTTAGACATACTTGTGATTTCAGCTCTAAGACTTTTATTAGGAAAGAACAAGACAACTTTACCCAGCACGCAGGCCGGTTTATATCCCCTGAAAACCCCACACCCAAAACACACCCCACACAAGTAATTGGCTATTACAGTGGCCAAGAGTTCCATAGGCTCTTGGCTGGGAGCCAAGCCCTCTGATTGGAACAGGCTAGGATCCGCTAAATGCATTGTTCCTAGTAGCGAAGCTCGGAGGTTTAGCTTGACCGCGTGGAGCCTTTGTGTGCCACACGGTCAGCGATGGGTACACTACACCCCTTTCCCCTTGGTCCGAAATACATCCACAGACATAGTCCTTTAAATATGCCAGAGCTTTACGTTCTCTGGTGGAGTGGCGTATCACAGGAGTTGTCAGGGACCACCCAGCCACCCCACATCAGGCACCCTTTGTATGTTGACAGTTCGTCTTTTCGCGTGACAAATGGCATAAACTCAGGGCCCTGCTTGGCCACCGGCCACCCCCTCCCCACCCAGTCCAGGACCCGACACAGAACCTTGTCCCGGCCCGTGAGGCAGGCCACCTCCCGAACATGAACTGGGCGATCGGGGAGCGACTCCACGAGAGCGATCGAGTGCACGGGCGCCAGGTCGGGGTCCGTTCCGGTGAGTGGAAGACGGCTGAAAGCATCCACATGCCCGATGGCCTTTTTGGGGCAATGTATAAGTTCATAGCTGTAACCTGCCATAAAAATGGACCACCGCAGGACCCTGGGGGAGACCATCTGCAGTGTCTGACGATCGGGAGCCAGGCGACCCAGAAGGGGTTTGTGGTCAGTCACCACTGTGAAGGGCCGGCCATAGAGATAGTGGTGGGATTTTTTTACACCAGCCGCTATCGCTAACTCCTCCTTGTCTATTTGCACATAATTCCGATCTGCAGAAGACAAGGTCCTCGAGTAGTAGGCGAACGGAACCTCCCGGCCGGCCGGCAACTGGTGACCCAGGACCACCCCAACCCCATAAGGAGAAGCGTCGCAGGCAAGGATAACCGGTAGCGCCTCAGTGAAATGATGCAGGACGGAGTTAGAAATAAGCAAGTCCTTGACCCCTTGGAATGCTGTGGCGTGCACAGGCGTCCAGACCCAGGACACGTCTTTGTCCAGTAGGCAGTGCAGAGGCTCTGCCATGGCAGCTTTCAAGGGGAGAAAAGTGTAATAAAAATTGAGCAGGGCCAGGAAAGCCTGCAGCTCCGATTTGGACGTGGGAGTCGGGGGGCCCGTAATTGGCCAAACTTTATTGTCCGTGGGGTGGATTCCCTGGGCGTCCACCGCAAACCCCAGGAACTCGATGCGCGGCACTCTGAGGAGACACTTCTCTTTCTTCACCTTCAGGCCGGCGGAGTCAAACCTTTGGAGAACTGCCCAGAGCCAGTCTGCGAAGGTGGCGGAGTCCAGCGCCGCGATGATGACATCATCTGGAAAGGGTTGTACCCCTGGGATGCCTTTAAGGAGGGAATCCATGAATTACTGAAAAATCCCAGGGGCCACACATACATCGAACTGTAGTCTGGCCACGCTAAACGCCCGCTTGTGCGTAGCGATGGTTTGTGCCTTGACGGCGGCCGCATGCACCAGCAACTGCTGATAAGCTTGCGCCAAATCTAGCTTACTAAAGACTTTTGCCCCCACAAGGGAGGCTAAGACGTGGCTTACCACTGGAACCGGGTAAGCGTGGTCCTGCAAGGCCTTGTTGACAGTGCAGTTATAATCGGCACATATGCAGACGTCACCATTCGGTTTGACCGACGTGACCGGTTTCAACACCCCTTGCTTGACGAGGCAGTTGAGCTCAGCCTCTATTTTGGCTCTCATTGCGATGGGAGGGAGACGTGCCTTAATGCGGATGGGGCATATGCTCGGATCCAGGTCCAGAGAAACCGGGTCCCCGGTGTGCCTCCCTACAGAACCATCAAACACCATGGGGAACTCCTCGCAAACCACCCTAAAATCCATCGACCGGATCTGGTGAGTCCCTGTCAACTCATGACAGTCCCAATAAACTGGACAAATGCCCCTCCACCACCAAAAGGTCCAGCAGTCCCGAAAAATCCTGGAACTGGGCCCTGAACTTACCCCAGCCACGGACCGCCACAGGGTTCTTATTAAAGTCCCGCAACATGATACCCTGTGGCTTGTGCAACCGGGGGCCCCCTCTCGGGCATAGAGAGAGGAGGGTTTCAGCCGAGATTATAGAAAAGGATGAGCCTGAGTCGACTTCCATCCTACAGGGGGCCCCCTCAATATTTATTTATTTATTTATTTATGCTTTCAATTTAATACCCCGCTCTAATCCCATAGTTGGGGTCTCTGAGCGGCTTACAAGTTGCTTGGTGCTAATCACCGTTTCTGTCCCTAACTACGGGCACACAATGTATAGGGGAGAGGGATCTCCTACCAGCACCCCCTCTGTGGTGGTCATGATGTTCTCTCTGTCGGCGGTTCGGCTTGCTCAGGCGAGACTCGGGACCCGGCGGAAGCATCTTTATCTCCGGCGCTCGGTGGTGGTGCGCTCCTCCAGACGCGCGACTTCGCCTGCTTCCGGCCCAGCTCTGTCCTTTCCGGCTCCGCTGGGCTGGTGCTCGGCGCCTGCGCACGCCCCCTCGACCTTCACAGCAGCCGTCGGTGTGTTCCTCCTTCGCCACCAGGGATCGCTCTGCTGCACAGCTCCCGATCGCGCCCGCCTGCCGCCGCCATGCCGCCGCCGGCTGGCGCTGCCGCCGTCCTGGACCAACCACACAGGGTGCCCCCCATCCTTCTAAGGGTGGGTACCCATTTACCTACTTGCAATTAAGTTGCTTTCGAGACCGCTGGGTTGGCGGGAGCTGGGGTGAAGGTCGAGAGCTCACCTCGACCACGGTGGTACTCGAACAGCCATAGTGGCTGTTCGGTGATGTTACAATGCAGGCACTTAACTGCCTGCACCACCGCCCCCTGTTGGACAGTCACATGCACCTTGTCCGGGCCGTCAGGGGGTAAGTTACATACCGTTTGTTAGTGATGGTTCGAAATGGTGTGGAGTTCCGAAGAATCGAGCTGTGCAGTTGTCTTCTGCTATTGTCCCTTGGAGTGGCAAACTCTCACCAGGTGTCCAGCCTTGTTGCAGGTCCTGCAGATGGCGTCTCGGAATCGGCAAGTCCGGTGCTCATGAGCGTCACCGCAGCTGGCGCAGGCCGAGGAGGGTTGTGCTGCCTTGGCGGAGGATGACCCTTTGCTGTTTTGAGAGTGCTGGGATGGCTGGCGGTTGACCTGGTGGATCTCCTCATCGCTGGAGACGACGGAAACCGCCGTAGCTTGTACACGGTGAACCGCCTTGGCGCGGCGGTCAGAGTGCGACTTCTCATAGGCCCCTGCTTCCCGTATCGCCTTCTCTAGATTGAGGTCATCCCGACCAACGAGTTTTCGCCACAACTTGGGCTCCCTGAGACCCACCAAGAATTGGCTTAAGAGGGCCTCCACCAGGTCCGAGAAGGCACAACGTGTTGCTGCCCGGCGTAGCCCAGCCAGGAAGTCAGAGGCCGACTCGTCTGGTCCCTGGTCTCTTGCAAAGAAGTCCATCCGTTCTACGAACTTAGTGGGTTTCGGGGCCAAGTGGTTTGTAAACGCCTTTACCAGAACGTCATAGGTCACAGCCGCGTCTTTTGTCTGTTGAGGCGCCATCAGGTCCTTCAGCAACAGGTGAGCCTCGATGCCGCAGTACCATAGAAGATGGGCCTTCTTCTTTCTGGGGCCTGTGATGTCGTTTATCTTGAAATGGTTTTCAAGCGTTTCCAGCCACATCTCCCATTGTGCAGGGCAGGAGATGTCGAACTCGGGAAAACTCTCATTACCAGCGGCCATCTTAGCTACACGTGGAGGAGGAGGCAGTTGCTCGGGTGCAGTGGAGGAGGTGACCGATGAAGAGGTGGAGGTAGAAGCAGTGCTGCACTCGGAGTCAGCAATGCCTGGAGTGGTGCAGTGCACGGTGCCTGGGGAAGCGGAACACAAGGCTCGGCATCGGCGTCCGGTACCCTCGGTGCTGGAGCGCGATGATGCGGTGCTTGTCCTGTGGTCGTTGTTCATGTGGGGAAGATCTCAGAATCCCACCTTCATTGCCACTGGAAAGTCCTTAGACATACTCGTGATTTTAGCTCTAAAACTTTTATTAGGAAAGAACAAGACAACTTTACCTGGCATGCAGGCCAGTTTATATCCCCTAAAAACCCCACACCCAAAACACACCCCACACAAGTAACTGGCTATTACAGTGGCCGAGAGTTCCATAGGCTCTCGGCCGGGAGCCAAGCCCTCTGATTGGAACGGGCTAGGATCCGCTAAACCCATTGTTCCTAGTAGCGAAGCTCGGAGGTTTAGCTTGACCACATGGAGCCTTTGTGTGCCACACGGTCAGCGATGGATACACTGTCCATCTGTTTCTCCAAGGTGACACCCATTTTAAGATTGCAGCAGTTATATTCTGCTCAGTATGTGAACTGCTCCGCTCAGGGGAGGGGGAGGGGGATTAAGGGAACATTGGCTGAGGGACGCACACACACACGTGCACATGCACACTCACAGACTGTGACAGGAGAAAAATGGACCTTCGTTTTCTTGAAGTGAGAGAGGACTTGGCTATGGTGACCCATGCAAAGGTCACTTCCAGGCTTGATTACTGTAACTCACTTTATGCGGGCTTGCCCTTGAGACTGATCCAGAAACTCCAAGTAGTGCAGAATGTGGAGATGCACCTGCTGACGGCATTGTCTGTGCAGGCACGCATTCAGCTGGTGTTGTGCCGCTTACACTGGTTACCAATTGAGTACCGGATCTGTTTCAAGGTGTTGGTATTAACCTTCAAAGCCTTGCGCAGCCTGGAACCTACATATCTGAAGGACTGCCTCTTCCCATATGTCCCCCGAAGACCGTTGTGCTCACAGTATTTGTTGGAAATGTATGTGTTTACAAGGTCTGATTCAGTCATTATAGGGTTAACTTGTATTCCTAGTTTGCTATTGTTTAGACTGACCTGGAAGGGATACCTGGCACTAAGCCAATGGGGGATTTGCCCGGGAAAAGTAACTTCTATTTTGATGCAGATTGGTCATTTGTTCCAGGTGACTTCCTTTCTAGGGGTCAAGAAGAAGGAGGAAATCTCCATTACGTGTGTGCTTGTCTTCAGTATAGGAAGCTTAGAAATGTAGCTCTTAGTGTTTTGTTAATTTGTAGCAATCCCGTGTACCTTTTCCCTTAGAATAAAGTATTTTTAAAAAGCAAAGAAATCTCTTCTTTCCAATAGAGCAAGATCCATCAAATATTCTGAGTATTAAACAATTTTTGACTATTTACAACAGTATTAACATCTGCTGGTCACCCCCGGCCTGAGGGACGTCCGCTTAGCTTCGACCAGGGCCAGGGCCTTTTCTGGTGGAATCAGATTCTGGTGGAATCAGCTCCCACTGGAGATCAGGGCCCTGCTGGACCTCTTATCGTTCCTCAGGGTCTGCAGAACGGAGCTCTTCCGCCAGGCCCCCTTTGGTGGAGGTGGTGGGCGTCCATCGCAGTGGGCCTCCCTGCCCTCCGTCTGCCTCCCAATCTGCTGAAAGGGCCCACAGATTCCACCTGCAGCTCTAACAGATATGAAACGCTTGCTACCTCTGTGAATTTTTATTGTTAGTGTTTTACCTGTTTTTAATGTAAATTTATTGCAATGAGTCTTGGCTTCTGTGATCCACCCTGAGCCCACTTTGGGGAGGGCGGAATAAAAATCTCAAAAATAAACAAATAAATAAAGTCCACGACCAGAAAGCAAAAATCCCAACCATCCAACCACACATCCCGATAGCAGGAGCAGGTCATCACAAAAGAAACGTTTGGAGCGTGTGGGCTTGAGAGCCTTTGCCACAGCCGTGGTGTCAGAGTCTGCTCCTCCTTTCTCGTCTGTTTGGATGGGTGGCTTCCATCGTGGCCCCACAGGAGGCTGGGCTGGGGAGGAGCTTCCCCAGTCTTCTCTCAGTCCCGGGAGGGGTGAAGTCCTCAGTGCGTGGCTCTGGTGGGCATGGCAGAGGGGAGGGGCTCGGGGGACACTTGCTTGGTAAACATTTGAAAAGCAAAGGGTGGCTCTGGCTTGATGGGCTCCTCTCCTTGACAGAGTCATTGAAAACCAGATAAGCCTGACCAACCTGACACTGGAGGACATAAAGAACCCTCGAGAGCTGAAGAACCTGTGAGTACTTAGGCCGGTTCTCCCACGGGGAAGGTGGTGGGGGGGGGAAGGGGCCTAATCCCCACCCTGACTCCTGCCAGATAAGCGCGACACACACACCCCTCCTGCAAAGGGATACGGCTTTCCCATGATCCCACAGCCCACCTTCTCTCCCTTCGGCTGCAGGGGAAAGAGGGCCGAGTGGGACGGAGCGGTGCTCTTCTGACCGCCGAGTAGTCCGCTGTGGCCCAGGAGCCCTCAGCCCAGGAGGCTCTCCTCACAGGCAGGAGGCTTGGCCACATAATGCCCTGGGTCCTTCCCATCCACACGCAAGAAGGAAGGTGGGCAGGATGTTCTTGGGTCAGGGCAGGACGGAAAGATGAGCGGGTGGTGAACCATCGTCTTGGCCGTTATCAGGGCAAGAGGCTCTTCCACCGTTGCCCTTTAAGAGGAGTCCAGAGAGCTGGAAGCAGCTTAACTGCGGAGAAGCACAGAGTTCCCTCCCTGTCCTCGAGGGAGTGGCAGCTGTCCTCTAAGAGCTCCTGGAGGGCCCCACTGGCACTGGGGGCAGCCTCGCCCCCCAGACTGCGCCTCCTCTGCTGCCGTGCCAGGACTTTGGCGTACCCTCCCCCACAAAGGGGCACCCAATCTATGTCTTTGTTATCCCACCGTTCTTCAAAAAAAAACCTCTGAAATCTCCTGTCTCTTCATCTCCGCCAACTGGACGGTTTTATTTAAGGTGCTGCTGCTGCTGCTGCTGCTGCCTCCAGGGATCTTGCCCTTACTGTTGGCATTTGGAATTTGTGCACGTTACGTGTCCAGTACTGCTGACGCAGGTCCTGTTGGTCACGGGAAAAGAGAGCCAGATAAATGCTTTAAATAAACGGGAGACGACCCACCTGCCCCTTCAGGCAGGGGCCCTGTCTCCAGCTGGCATCCACCTGCAACCCGCTTGCTGCCATGTGCCCATTTGACCTGGAGTCACCCTCATTCGTAGCCACTCTTCCTTGCAGAAGAGCAAGAGAGGGTGCCAGAGCCAGCCTGCTGGGCACGGGCCTTGTCTGTCCTGCTTTCCTTTCTTCAGACCTGATTTGGGGCTCTTTTCCTCATTCAAATTGCAATCGCCACATAAGCTGACCACACGAGGACAGTCCCAAGGCACGCCTGAGGCATCTAAGGGCCCTGTCCCTTGCAGGACTCATGCCACGGTCCTTCTTTCGGACATCCAAGAACAGGTTAGGGGATACAGTCGGGTGTGTGTGAGAAGAGCCAGTGAAGGACCCCCACCCCGCAATCGTGACTCTCACACTCTCACAATCGTGACTCTCACACGGACACGGACACTCCCCGCTTGCGGGGAGGGCAGGGTATAAATGTAATAAAATAAAATAAAAATAAATAAAATCCTCGCTGCCTCTTTTTCTCTTGCCAAAGTAGCTTTGGGACCTCCCTGGTGCTTCCTCACTAGTTCCAACCTGCATTCCCAGGACCTTACCTCTCAAGCTGCCGTTGACACTCAGGTGTTTTGAAGGGGGGGGCGGGTTCAGGTGCCCTATGAAGGGTTGCACGGACCCCCTGTTGTGTCTACTGGGGTTAGAGCTCAGTGCGGAAAACGGACCTGCCTGGAGTGAAGACCGGCCATCAGGCAGAAGCGGCTTCTTTCGGCCTGGAGTGGTGGTGGCACGAGGGGGGGGGGCAGGGCCTCCAAAGAAGCACCGTCTGCAGACTTTGCCCAGCAGTGCTCCATCCTTGGGTTGACTGACTGGGCAGTTCTATGGCAGGAGCTGAGTTTGCTTGTCTGTTTGTTTCTTGCAGGACCATTTCTAAGACTCAGTTGCAGTTCATTGCGGCCGATGCATTCCAAACCAGCCGAAACCTGATCTACCTGTGAGTAACAACAAGCGCCTCAAGCAGCTCCCAGTCTTTGCACTTGGAATGGGGAGGAAGTCGGGCAAGAGGAAGAAAGGCCCGACAACCCTTGGTGACATCCCGCCCACCCCCCCCAGGCCTCAGGCCTCTGTCTGAGACATGGGAGGGATTAATCAATGAAAGCAAGCTGTTCTGAAGAGGAGAGGGCTGAACAGGGCGACACGCACCGCAGGACAGGTCAAGGGTGTGGCCCGCTTTGCCTGGCCTCCTCCCCTTACTTTCTCTCGCTGCCTTTGCCTGGCAAGTGAGCTGCCCCAGACCTGGGGCCTGCAGGCTGCATGGTTTGGCCATCCATATTCCCTACAGCGGCTCAGAGCAGGGACTGATTGGCGGCAGCAGCTGTGCCTTGCAGGGAAATTGATGCAGGCAGCAGTATCCCCACCCCCCATCCCCGGTGGCAAGAGTACTCCAGAGACGCACCTCCTCCTCCTCCTCCTGCTGAGGCAGACTCAGCATGGGTTCTGTAAGGGTTGTCTCACAAACCTGTTAATGTTCTTTGAGGGGGTGAACAAACATGTGGACAAGGGGGATCCAATAGATATTGTTTACCTTGACTTCCAGAAAGCTTTTGATAAAGTTCCTCATCAAAGGTTCCTAAGTAAGCTCAAAAATCATGGATCAAACACTGGCTAATTAATAGAAAACAGAGAGTGAGTATAAATGGGCAGTTCTCTCAGTGGAGGGGGGTAAGCAGTGGGGTACCGCAGGGATCAGTACTTGGTCCACTGCTTTTTAACTTGTTCATTAATGATTTGGAGTTGGGAGTAAGCAGTGAAGTGGCTAAATTTGTGGATGATACCAAGTTGTTCAGGGTGGTGAAAACCAGTGAGGATTGTGAGGCACTCCAAAGGGATCTGTCAAGGATGGGCGAGTGGGCGTCAACATGGCAAATGGGGTTCAATGTGGCCAAGTGCAAGGTGATGCACATTGGAGCCAAAAATCCTAAATATAAATACACGTTGATGGGGTCTGAACTGGCAGAGACTGATCAAGAGAGAGATCTTGGAGTTGTAGTAGATAACTCACTGAAAATGTCGAGACAGTGTGTGACTGCAATAAAGAAGGCCAATGCTATGCTGGGGATTATTAGGAAGGGTATTGAAAACAGATCAGCCAATATCATAATGCCCCTATATAAATCAATGGTGCGACCTCATCTGGAATACTGTGTGCAGATCTGGTCACCACACCTTAAAAAGGATATTATAGCTTTGGAAAAAGTGCAGAAAAGGGCAACTCGAATGATAAAAGGGTTGGAACACTTTCCCTATGAGGAAAGGTTAAAGCGCTTAGGGCTCTTTAGCTTGGAGAAACGACGACTGAGGGGTGACATGATTGAGGTTTATAAGATTATGCATGGGAAAGAGCAGGTAGAGAAAGAGGTACTTTTCTCCCTTTCTCACAATACAAGAACTCGTGGGCACTCCATGAAACTGCAGAGCGGTCGGGTTAGAACGGATTAAAGGAAGTACTTCTTCACCCAAAGAGTGGTTAACACTTGGAATTCACTGCCACAGGAAGTGGCGGCGGCTACAAGCATGGACGGCTTCAAAAGGGAATTAGATAAGCATATGGAGCAGAGGTCCATCTGTGGCTATTAGCCACAAGGTATAGATAGGGACTCTGGGGCAAGTGATGCTCTGTCATCTTGGTGCTTGGAGGGGGGTCAACAGTGGGAGGGCTTCTAATGTCCTGGCCCCACTGGTGGACCTCCTGATGGCACTGGTATTTCTGGCCACTGTGTGATACAGAGTGTTGGGCTGGATGGGCCTTTGGCCTGATCCAACATTGGCATCTCTTATGTTCTTATGTTCTTATGCTGTTGCCGCCACCGAGCCAGGGGGCTGTGAGCCGGGGAGGCTCACCCTCCGAGGCCTGCGCCGCCCTCTGGATGGAAAGCCCATCTTCCTTGTCCTGCCCCACACTCAGGCAAGGCAGCCAGCCAGACGCCCCCAATCACACCTCCCACCCCACCCCAGGCTCTTTGGCCATACAGGCAGGGAGGGACCCAGGAGGACTCCAGGTCGTGCTCTTGGGGGGGGGGGGCAGAGAAGGGCCTGGAGAGCATTCTTTGTGTCCCCCATCACGGGCTGCATCCACAGAGCCACCTGGGCCCTCGGTAGCCACCGCAAAGCCTGGCTCCACTCGATGCCCAGTTGCCGAGGGGCTGGAGCAGGCGGGCTCCTCAGTCCTGCAGTCCAGCCTCCCCCTTGCTGTGTGGCCATGTGAGTGGTGGGGGGGAGCAGGCCCGTTGAGGACTCACCCCACCCCACCCCCCCACACATGCAGGTGTACTTCAATCCACCTGCGGGGGGACCCTGCTAACCCTTGCCAGGGCTCTGTGAGCCACCATGGGCCTGATTTGCACTGATGCAGCAGCCTGGCAACCCGGAAGATCCTCCTTGGCTGAAGGCCTCGTGCCTGATCTCAAGCCAGCCCTGCTCTTCTGACTCGCTAAGCATGCCCCAGGATCCTTTGCACCACTGCAGAAGGCCACAGGAGGGCGCGTGCTGGCATCTCTGCTGCCGGGCACCAGCGGAAGCTCCAGCACCGCAGACATTCGGTTGCATTCAGGCAGGACTGAGCTCAGGCTACAAAGAACGCTGGGGGGGAGGGGGAGGAGGAGGGGAAGCCCCCTGCCATCATCCCAGTGGGCAAGGGGGCAGGCAGAGGCTTGGGTGGGGCATTTCGGGCCCCTCCCCCTCACTTCCTGTCAAGGCCCCATAACTTCCATCCCGCCCAGCGCCCCCCCCAACTCTCTGGGCCGCCCGGATGACTCTTTGCAGCCGCCACCCCTTCCTCAAGTGCGGCTTGCTTCCCTGCTTGCAAGCAGCCCTGCTAGCTCCAGTTTGGTGTCGTGGTGAATGCGCGGACTCTAATCTGGGAGAGCCGGGTTTGATTCCCCACTCCTCCACTTGCACTGGCTGGATGACCTTGGGCAAGCCCTAGTTCTGATAAGAGCTGTCCTTGAAAAAGAGCCATTTCTCTCAGAGTTCTCTCAGCCCCACCCACCTCCCAGGAGGTGTCTGTTGTGGGGAGGGGAAGGGAAAGGAGTTTGTAAGCCACTCTGAGACACCTTTGGGTAGTGAAGGGTGGGGTATAAATCCAATCTCTTCCTCTTCTTCTTCTAATCTGGGAGAACCGGGTTTGATTCCCCACTCCTCCACTTGCATCTGCTGATTGACCTTGGGTCAGTCACAAGCTCTGGCACAGCTGTTCCTGAGAGAGCAGTTTCTGTCTAGAGCTCTCTCAGCCCCACCCACCTCACAGGGCGCCTGTGGTGGGGAGGGGAAGGGAAAGGAGTTTGTGAGCCGCTCTGAGACTCCTTTGGGTAGTGAAGGGCCATGGGGTGTAAATGCAATCTCTTCCTCTTCGTCTTCTAATCTGGGAGAACTGGGTTTGATTCCCCACTCCTCCACTTGCATCTGCTGATTGACCTTGGGTCAGTCACAAGCTCTGGCACAGCTGTTCCTGAGAGAGCAGTTTCTGTCCAGAGCTCTCTCAGCCCCACTCACCTCACAGGGTGTCTGTTGTGGGGAGGGGAAGGGAAAGGAGTTTGTAAACCGCTCTGAGACTCCAAGTGAAGGGCGGGGGATAAACCCAATCTCATCATCATCATCATCATCTCCATCCTGTGGGTCCTGAGCTGGCAGCGTCCAGAGGCTGGCGAGGCTGGGGCAGGTGCGTGGCATGACCTGGGCTGGGGTGCCTCCTCCTCCTCCTGGGTGCCCAGCTGGAGCCAGAGTGCCGGCAGAGAGCCCAGCTGCATGGCGGCACTTGGCCTCCGGGGCTCAGTCGCCCATCTCCTCGCCTTGCGGAGCCTGGCGCACTGTGCCCCCCCCCCCAGCCACCACACAGGAGGCCTCCGCGGTGAGCATGAGTTATTTTAATTTTACATTTATTTTTTAATTTTGTGACATCAGTGCCCCCCCAACTTAATTAAAGGCCCCCTGCCTGGTGCGCAGGGGGCAGAAGTCGGGGAGGAGGCAGCCCTCAGCCAGCCGGCGTCTCCCGCTCCACTTCTGGATCAGGCTCAGTGGGCCAGACTGACTCTGGCGCCTCCTCCACGTGTGCCCCCTTCTTTTCTCTCCCCCCCCCCGCACAGGAACCTGGCCTCCAACCGGCTGCAGCACCTGCCCTGGACCATCTTCCGCCCCCTCCGTCTCCAGGAGCTGTAAGTGGCAGCGGGGGGGGGGGGGGGGGGGGGGGGGCTTTTTGCTCCAGGGTGAAACCAGGAGTGTGGGGGGGAGGTAGGCGGCGCATGGGAGAGCAGCTAAGTCCACAGGGTCAGGGGAAGCGGGCGGGGAGGAGGCCCTCATCCACTCCCTCCGACTGCTGGTTTAGATGGGCCTTCATATCTAACTGAGAGCCGGTGTAGCGTCGTGGTTAGGAGACTCCTCCTCCACATGCAGTGGCTGGTGTGACCTTGGTCAGTCACATGTTCTCTCAGGAGCAATTCTCTCTGAGCTCTTTCAGCCCCACTGGCCTCACAGCGGAGAGGAAGAGAAGGAGATTCTTTTGGGTAGTGAAGGGCGGGGTAAAAATCCTATCTCTTCTCCTCCTCCTCCTCTGCCCTCCACGCAGCCCAGGCCGGGCAGGAGGTGGGGAGGGGGGTCACGGAAGCAGCGCTCCTTCTCCCCATGCAAGCGGGGCAGTTTACCGTGATAAGCACCAGAAGGAGGGAAGGGCCCAGACGGGGCTTCCCCCGGTGAACAACGGTCAGTCACACACCCCGGAGCCTGTGCGCTGGCCCCGGAGCCTGTCCTCGGAGCACAGGCACCTTCTGCAAGCCCCCGCCCCCCCGGCCCAGGAGGGCCTGGTGCAGGCAGACATCCAACGAACTCAGCCTGCCGCAGGAGCAGAAGGGACCGCAAGCCTCTGCAGGCTGAGTCTGGAGCAAGGCCCGTGGTGGTCGGTGCCCAGCCAGGGGGGCAACCAGCCTCAACCCTGCCGGGCTGCCCCACACATGCAGAGGGGAGAGGGAGGGTCTGATGGGACACCCCCCCCAGGCCAACTTGCCTCCCCAGGCCCCTGCAACAACAACCCCCCGTCAGCCCAAGAGGAGCGAAATTGGGGCAGGAGGTGCGCGTGAATGTCATTGCCCTCCCCAGCGCCTCTGGCTTTCCCCAGGAGACTGGCTCGTAGAGGCAAGCCCCCAGCCCCCGCCATTTCAGATGGGGCGCGCTGGCCAGTCTCCTCTTCTGTGTGGCCCTTGCAGATGACGCAGGCCAGAAGAGCAGGCGCCCGGCAGCTGCACTCTCCGAGGGCGCCAAGGGACTCCCCAAAGATCTCTTCTACATGATAATTATTCCCCCTGTTCGAACCGGGTCCCCTAAGATTGACAGCTTCCCTTCCTGGTGGCCGGTGGGGGGGCTCCCAAAGAGCTAGGGAGGCCTCCCTCCCCTGGAGCCGGCCTGATGCCCCCACCCCCCTCGATGTTTCCTGCCTTCAGGGTCCTGGTGGGGAACCCGCTCCAGTGCGGCTGCGGGCTGCGGTGGCTGCAGGTGTGGCAGGCGACCCGGCAGGCAGAGCTGGGCAACCAGTCCCTGACTTGTGTGGAAGGCGAGGCGGAAACCCCCTTGGCCAGCATGGTCCTCGAGGGCTGCGGTGAGTTGGGGAGGCGGGAGGGTTAGGGTGTCTGTGGCCGCGCCCTCCCCTTCCAGGGCCTTCCGCCTGCCCTCCCCCCGGTCTCCCCTTCTGGGGGCCTGAGCCTCCCTCCCCCCCCCACTGGGGACAGTGCCCAAGGCCCCAGCCATGGGTCCGGTTGCCACGGTGTGGCCGGCCTAAGAGAAGGTTTCCTTTCCCTCTCCCTGGTCAGACGTCCCCAGGGTCTGGATCGACTACAGCAACGCCTCCCTGCGCGAGGGCGAGAGCATCACCCTGACGTGCCACTTCGCCGGGCAGCCGAGGCCGGAGGTGGAGTGGCAAGTGCCGGAAGTTGGGACCGCCCCGCCCCTCGTCTCTCAGGCAAGCACTGGCTGGGCCACCGTGGCAAGGAGGGGGGCGGGGAGGTGTGTTCGAGGGGGAGAAATGGGGACGCGCTCGGAGCCTTTGAGAGCCTTTGGTTGTCAGCGGTTCTTGCTTTGAAGCTGGACACAGGAAGGAAGGCGCAGCTGAGCCGCAGTTTGGTGTAGTGGTTAAGTGTGCGGACTCTAATCTGGGAGAACCAGGTTTGATTCCCCACTCCTCCACTTGCACCTGGCTGGATGACCTTGGGTCAGTCACAAGCTCTGGCACAGCTGTCCTTGAAAAAGAGCAGTTTGTGTCAGAGTTCTCTCAGCCTCACCCACCTCACAGGGTGTCTGTTGTGAGGAGGGGAAGGGAAAGGAGTTTGTAAGCCCCTCTGAGACTCCAAGTGAAGGGCGGGGTATAAATCCAATCTCTTCTTCTTCTTCTTTCCGTCGGTGAGCACTCGGTCTGCCAGCCGCTCACACTCACTGGGGTGCCCTCTGCCCATACAGAAGTCAGACTCAGAGCTGGTGCTGTGGATCCAGAATGCCTCTTCTGGTTTCAACCTCAGGAACATCACGTGCCAAGCAGAGAACGAAGCAGGATTTGGCCAGGACGCGGTGCAACTGGATGTGAGGTGTAAGAGAAGCTCTTGGCCTTCAACGGAACCCCTTCGGGCTCCTTCGTGGTTCTCTGCTCCCCAGGGAATGGGAGGAAAGGGACAGGCTCTGGGTCAGGCCCTGCCGATGCTACCAACGGGGAGGGGGGCAGAGTTCATACTTGGCATTCTGTTTACAGACCTGGGGGAGATACATTTATCTTGTCTGTCTCAGGGACTCAGCATCTTCTTGCCAGTGCCCTTTTGTTGGGATTCTTTTTGAGTAAGTCAGCAGAGTATTAAGAGACTGAGTCCATGGTGTGTATTAAAACATAAAAGTTTACTATAAACCTAACATGGGAAAAAGGTACACAGGAAAATAACAAAGAGCTAATATGGCTACATCCTTACAGCTACAGGTAAAACGGGAAGAGAATGGCGTCTCCTTCTCAGTCAGAACAAAGAACGGGAGGAGAAGCCATAAAATGGTAATATACCTTGACACTTTAGTCCCAATCAAATCCCTAGATCAGGGAGAAAATTCCTGGGCTTGCTACATCTAAAGAAACATTGGTTACATGAGAAACATGTGCCTTAACAAACATCATTAACCCTGTAAATACTGAAGTGTTTTTAACTTGTAATACCCAACACCCCTTCTCAAGTTATAACATGAAAGTCATGCAAATTCAAACATTCATGAAGAGTCTCAAAACGTTGCTTGTCAAGTGGCTTGGTCAGGATGTCGACAATCATCTGATCAGTAGGACAGTATTGGAGTTCAATCAGTCCTTGGTCTTGCAGCTCTTTCACGTAGTGACATTTGAGTGCGATGTTATTGTTTTTAGATTTGGTGCCTTCACCTTTGCAGATGGCGATACAAGCTTGATTGTCCTCAAAAAGTATTATTGGCTTTGGTTCATCTATGCCGAAGTCTTTCAGTAGATGAATAATCCAGTAAAGTTCATAGCTGGCACTTTGTGCTGAAACGCATTCAGCTTCTGCGGTAGAGATAGCTACGACAGATTGCTTTTGACTAGTCCATTCAATCA